CTCTAGCGGCGCTGGCGCACAGCCCCTGGCAGTGGTGGCTGCGTCCAGCGAGCCCGTGGTACTGACTCTGGCATCATTTGCTGTGACCAAGCTGGCTTATGTCAGGCTCACCAAGATGTTCCGCGATGATTACCTGGCCTCAACCGGGGTGGATGTGCGATTCCGCCTGACATTCACAGGCAGCGGCGTGCAGGTGAGTCGGGAGCTCCATGCCATGGCTTAATGATTGCAGGCATAACGGGCAGAATGGCTCCTCAGTGCAATTTCAGCACATTCAAGCTTTCACACAACCCTCCAGCAGGCGGCCCCTCGTGTGCCATTGTCAGCAAATGCAACTTTCATTGGCACAATTATGGCCAGCGAAGGCCATTTTCAACTTAATTAGGGCGCTGAGGTGCCGCAGGGCTTGTAGCATAGTCGGGTCGCTTGTCTAGACAGCTGCATCCCAGGCAGCACTCCATACACCCCACAGGCCTTGCCGCACATCCCAACGTTGCCCACTGTCTCACCCCCTGCCCCCTCCCGCCTCAGGCGCGTGCTGTGATCGACGGCCTTCCCGCTGATCTTGTGGCCCTGGCCCTGCCCCTGGACGTTGAAAAGATTGTTGACGCGGGCCTCATCCGCCAGGACTGGACCAAGGCCTACCCCAACAACTCTGTCGGTGGGGTCGACAGCGCGCCCTTGATGTGTGTGATTCGGGTGGCGATACCAGGTGCTGAGAGGCCATGTCCCCCCTTTCCCCCCCAGAGGCCGGCAGCCCACCATGCTTGCTGCACAATCTCATCTTGACGCCTTTTCCAACAAGTCACAGATGTTGCTTGTCGCCGCCCTCTTACTCTACAATCTGTTGTGCTCAGTGTGCGAGACCACGGTGGCGCTGGTGACCCGCCAGGGAAACCCCTGGGGCATTCGCGACTGGGGGGACCTGACACAGCCCGGCCTGCAGGTGTGAGTCGGAGGGGGTGGGGGTTACTTCGGGCGTCTAACGCCCTTGTATCCTCGAGTGCTCAAATCGACTCCTGGACCACTGTATACAGTGGTTACAGTGAGAACAGAGATAGCAGTAATGAAGAGGAATTCTTGAACACACACTGCAAAGGCGCCGCACCCTCATACCCACCTCTGCCAACATGAGCCGGCCTCACCACACCCTTGTGGTGCCCCGCCAAAGCCCAGTGTAAAACTTCCTGGGGTTGTGGCCGCGTTAACACGCAGGTGGTCCTAGCCAACCCAAAAACTGCCGGTGTGGCACGCTGGATTTTCCTGGCGCTGTGGGGGCACCGCATGAAGAGGGGCGACGCTCCCGCCCTGGACTACGTCACAAAGGTGCGAGTGTGCCTGTGATAGGCGCCGTGCTGTGAGAGGTGGGGTGGGCGGGTTAAGGGCAAAGTATTGTAAGCCACAGGGGTCAGGGGCCGAACACGGAATGGATGATGTATTGCTCGTCGGAAGCTGCGTCAACGGGCCCCTGCTCGTGTGATTAGCTGCGGCTTATGTGAGAGAGTGCATGCAGAGTTCAAGCCAAGGGTTCAGTGTTTGCCAAGCTTGAATGCGCTACGCACCAACTATGGTCTGCTCGGCCTTGCGTGCGACGTCTATGGTTTGTTGTGTGGACTGTGGCTCTCGGTCACACCAAATTCATATTTACTTACATATTTTCTTCCATTCTACTTCATTTACTACTTGAAAATGAGAACTCTGCCTATGAGGCTTATCAAGCCGTATCAATTATCCCACCCGTCGTCAGGTGTTTGATAATGTGGTGGTGCAGCCGCGCGATGCACGCGAGGCGTCTGATGTGTTCTACCGGCAGCGCATTGGGGACGTCCTGCTGACCTACGAGAATGAGGTCGTGCTCACCAACGAGGTGGGAGTGGGGGTGTGGACTGTTTTTTTTGGGGGGGGGGGGCGCGAGCCCAGACGGCCCGCAGTCCATGGATAATGGTGTACTCGCAACTATCGTGTTTTTGAACACAGGCAGTTATGGTGCCTTCTATGTCGTTGCGTGGCTACCCAGGCTGACCTCTTGGTCGTCATCGATGGTGCCCTCATACTCAGGTTTACGGCAAACAGAAGGCGCTGCCCTATGTGGTGCCCTCGCCCAACGTCCGCATCGCCTGTCCCCTAGCGCTGGTGAGACAAGCAAACTGGTGCCCCGCGGCTGTTGCTGCGCGACTCCCACCCACCGGGCTCGTTACAAGCCCGCTCCCTGCTGTTGTTCTAAGGTCAGGGTATGAGCCAGCCCGCTTATCTCCTTGTACTCCTGCCTGCCCTTCCCCAGGTGGACAAGGTGCTGGATTCGAAGCCCGCAGCTGCACGACAGGCGGCTCACCAGTTTGCAAACTTCTGCTTCACTCCCCGAGCCCAGGTAAAGGGCACAGACTCAGGGAGGCGCTCAGGGTGCATGTGATGATTGGAAGAGTGTTTGTGCATGTCAGTACACTGCCTGCCTGGAAACTAAGCATCCCACCGTCAGGTTTTCCTTTGGACAGCATGCCAGCCGCTATCACACAACCTACCACAATCAACCTGGCTTTTGCGGCCTGCCAATACTATTCGCACCCCAGGTCGAGTTTGGCCGTGTTGGGTTTCGGCCCAACCCCCGGCTGTGCAAGGAGCAGCCTGAGCACCTGGTGGGTGGTCAGCGGCCATTTGTCCAACTTGCCCTTCATGAGTTGCACCCTTCAATCAGCGCCGACTCTTTTTATCCATTCCTGTCGATTGTCGCAACCCTCAATCCCTGCCGCAGGCTGGCCGCGGGGGCGTACAGATGTGGAACGTTGAGGATGCTCTGGGCGGGTGGGCAGCGGCGCAGCGCAAGTTCTTTGACGCTGGACGCATCCTGGACCGCATCCAGTCAGAGGTCGGAGCGCGCCGGCTGGCCCGTGGCAAGGCCGGGGCTGTGGTGCGGCGACACGCTGCAGCGTGAGATCACAGCTGCTGCCGTCTTGGACACGGTGTGGAAGCATGTCGAGTGGGTTGGCATGTTGCCAGTTGGGCTGGTGTTGTTTCATTACTGTCGATCTTGTTTGTGCTGCTCAGCGGAGCTGCATACGGGGCCAATGCTGTATTTTCACCCCGCGGGGGGCCCTTGATGCTTTGAATTCAAACTCCACCTCCTGCATGCTGCAAGCATAATTATGGTAGCACCCAACTGTAATCCAGCCACCGCTTGCCCTAGTTGCTGGATTGTGTCTGCTTACAATGATGCAAGCGTGTGCAGGCGGAGCATGGCATGCCACTCTGCATAGTCACTGCTTTCTTCCCATCTCGGAGGTGCCCGCGTGTGCTATTTGCCACGAATATGTCCCTTGAAATGCTTAGGGTTGCGGCGCTGCTTGGCTTGCGTTGCGCGGTTGCGCAGCTGGTGAATTCGGGCCGCGATGGGCATCTGCTTGGCGCGCTGCTTCTCCCGCTCGCTCTTGCTCCCTGTCTTCTGCTTCTTGCGAGACGACCGCGAGCCAAACTCCTCGCGCCCCTCGCGTCCCTCCAGCACGCTGGCAATGCGGCCCGCCTTGTCACGTGCACGCTTCTTACGGCCTGCATGGTCGTTGGGCAGTTGGGTTGGGTCATCAGCGTCCGCATGCAAGTGTGATGCACAGGTTATCAGCAGTTGAGAGCAGTGGGGGGCGTGGCAAGTTGAAGGTCGACAACTATGTGCGTGATGTAAATGTGTATGCAGATCAACGGAGCTGTCTGACTTGAGTGCAATGCACATCCGTGCAGAAGCGGCGGCAACCCAACCATTTCTCGCCCCCATGACACCTGTGAGCTGGTCGGGCTGCACGCTGGTCTCGTTGGCGCGCACGCGCTCCACCTCCAGAGCCACGGCCTCAACGGCCTCCTGCTCCGCAGCCTCTGCCAGGCGCCGCTGTTTGGCCTTGGTGAGGGGCTTGAGCCCGTTGCGCGCCATGGCGGCTTGGACCATCTGCTTGTGCCTCAGCTCCCTGCAGAGGGTAGGACGGAAACATGTGACGGCGTGGGATAACACACAGATGCCAAAGGAATAGCAGCCAAGCACCTAGGTTGCCTTGGCAAGCCTGCACTCCACTTGATGCCCCCAGAGGCTCTGCAGCTGGCGCACCGGATGCGCATAAAGTCATCATCTGTCAAGAAGCGCTGCATCTCTATTGGCAGGGATGGCTCAAGGCTGCTGACGCTTGTAGGCCCCAGCGCTGCTGCGGCATTGCTGCTGTCAGCGACGTTTTGCTTGCGAGCCACCGCCGCTCCAAGCTGACGCTTGAGGTCGCCCAAGCTGCCTGGCTGGGGCGCTCGCTGGTGAGAGGCACAGCCCTCAAGGTTGGGCAGTGCCGCAGTATGACTGTTGTTGCCACCTGGGACGCCGCGTTTATCACCGCTGCTGCTGGGCCCGGCCCCATCATCACCCCCCCTGCTGGCCACGACGACCTCGTCTCGTGCCACCTTGGCCTCCTTGCCCACTGTAGCTGCCATCTCCTGCCCCTGCAGCCCCTTCTCCTGCAGCCACTCATCGACCTCCTCCTCCTCCGCCTCCTCGCGCTCGGCTTGCGCTTCCTCAGCTGCGCTGCTGCTGCCGCCGCCATCCCCGTCCCCGTCCCCACTGCCGCTGCTCGCCACTTCCACGCTCTCATCTTCTGAGCCAGTACCTGCCCCTTCATCGCCGCTGTCATCGCTGCCGCTGTCATCGCTGCCGCTGTCATCGCTGCCGCTGTCGTCGCTGCCGCTGTCGTCGCTGCCGTGAGCCAGGGCCTGCTCCAGCAGCTCCGCTCCAGCCACACGCTGGCTGACGGCCTGGACACCGTAGAGGCTGGGGGCATTCAGCAGGTCTGCGCCGCGGCCGCGGTCGCGCTTCGCCAGCAGTGCTGCGGGACATGGCAAGGTTTCAGAAGAAATTTGACAAAACCAGCTGACTTGACCAAAAGGCCAGCAGGGTTACGTGCGCATGCAGCACTCATTTCACAGTTGCAGGCTACAGTTGCGGGCTACAACCCGAGGCCGCCAGTTGCGTGAGCCCCGCCAGAGGCTGCACAGATGCACATGAAACCATGAATCCCCGCCATATAAAGGGATTGCATGCCCCTACCTGGGTTGATGTCACGGAAGAGCCCGATGACTGCACGTGCCGCAGCGGCCACCTCTTTGTCGCGGAACTTCTTGTAGCCCGCCAGGTCCTATATGATACCAGACGTGTGGGGGCAGCAATCCACCATTTAAAATTCAAGATGCATTGCATTGCAGTTGACTTCGCATCAGGTCCGACATCACCGTATGTGCCTGAAGGCCGAAAGGTTGCCAGTGCACAGGTCAAGCCTGGGCCCGCTCTCGCCCCTGCCCCCCACAACTCTCCCTTGCTGACCCTCCACCCTCTCCAGCCCCCGTCCGTTATCGGCTTACCTGCAGCAGCTCAGGGCCCATCAGCAGGGGGCACCTGATGCACACCTCTCGAGTGGTCTTCAGGCCCACCACAATCACCTCGGGTCGCGCCCTGGCAAGGTGAAGGGAAGGGCACTCATCAACAGCAGGAGCGAGGCATGGGTAAAGAGTGCTCTGCTAAGTTGGTGAACACTGGAAGATGAAGATGAAACATCAAACAACTGACAATCAGCTTGGCGTGATGGGTTTTCAGCTGCAACAGCAGGTGCCTCCTCTCGTGCCCCCTTGCTTCAGCTCGCCGCGCGCCTGTCGTGCACAAACTGGTCTACCAGCTGCCTCAGCACTGGCTGCAGCGTCTCGGGGGGCACCAGCTCGTGAACACCCTGAACCAGCGCCGCCAGGACCTGCGGCGGGGCATGATAAACAAGGATGGCCAAGTCAGCAATGGGCGGCTTGATGGCATGTGGGTTGCTTGCATGGTTGCCGCAGCAGGCCCCCACCTGAGTGACGTCCCTTTGGTGCGGCGCAATGTACTTCTGCAAGAAGGGGTAAAAGTTGAGCAGCAGCAGCTTGTGCACACCCACCACCCTGCATGTGCACGAATAGCATGTTGCGTGAGTGTCAGGGAAGGTCGCTTTTCCAGCTCTGTCTGGCGTGCTGCTTTCTTAAGCGCCCGCCCACGAGAACTATCTCCACACGCCGATTAGTCACAACAGCCACTTGCAGCCTCTCCCAGCCCCCAAAGAGCCGTGTAGGCTGACCTGGAGATGACCGCCATCATGGCGGTGCGCGCCTCCCATTTGTCGCGGCTGCCCTGAAGCCGTGCAAACAGGCGTTCGGCGAAGGCTTGGGGGTCGTGCAGCAAGTGCACAGCAGCGAAGCCTTCACTGACTGCCGAAGCCTCACGCCGCGCCTGCTTCTTCACTGCAGACATTGCACGCTGCAGCTTGGCCTGCTTCTTCTTCTTGCTGCTGTTGGTGCCCTGCACACAGACGACAGGGGGCAGCAGACATGAAAGAATGGAAAATAGCAGCCCTTCTCACATGCCGGATCCAAAGATCAGCAGCACCCGTGTGACAAAGAAACTCTGCCTTGGGATGCGCACCACGGTGCCACCGGGCAGCTGCAGGCCCTTGTGACAACCTCAAGTCCGTCCGCTTGGGCAAACTTGTGGTCCAGGCCCCAAGGGCCCACCTGTTTGTTGGCCTTGTAAAACTCCTGCTTGCTGGGCATGGCTGTCGCAGCAGCCGCCGCTGCTGCACCCTCCTGGTCACTGTCGTCCCCGTCATCATCCTGCAACGCATCCTGCCCCAAGAAAAATTTCATCACAGCCAGGCACACCGCAGGAGACGGGTGGAACGACGCGCTTGCTGGCGCCAGGGAGGGTAGTGATAGAGGGGTGCCATTAGTACTTAGGGGGGCAGCAGACAGCCCCGCAGCTAACGCACGCAAATCAATCAGGAAACCTTTGTTGAGTACGAAGGGACGGGACCGCAAACAGCCCAGCAACCAACACATGCAGGGCGCACAAGGGACGTTTCTGTGGGCCGCAAACCAGGGGAGCTGGACATTGCTGGTATGTGGTCTTGCCCCCCTTGCACCCACCTATGACGTTGACTGTGCGCGCATCCCTCCAGATATTCCTGCGCCACAGCTCAGTCAGCACTGCCAGGCTCTTCTTGGCCGCCATCTCATTGTCGTCCTGGGTGGAAGGAGCGAGGGGTCTGTCATATTCACAGCAGGGCTGGAGATGAAGGCACCAGCAGGGCACGCAAGCATAGCGCGCCAGCAAGGGCGCCAGGACGGCGCCCCAGCAGGGCGCCCCAGCACGGCCTGCCACATGCTGTGGAAGGCGAAGTCAGTGCTCCACCTCAAAATGTCATGGCCCTGACACCACCTTGCAGCGCCTGCCAATGCCGAACGCACTCCACCCTGCTCCGCCGGCAGTGCATCCCACCTGCAGCACCCCGTAGAGAAAAGACTGCACTGTGCGGTTGAGCCGCTCGTTACGAGCTCTTTGATTGGATGCCTTCAAATCTTTGTGTGAGCAAGAGGTTGGCGTGCGCTTGCGCTCATGTGCGTCTAAGTCTAATTTTGTTTGTGTGCTTGCATGTGCAAGGGCACGCGCGCACGTGTTTGGATGTGTGGTTGTGTGTGTGTGATTGTGTGTGTGTGTGTGTGTGTGTGTGTGTGTGTGTGTGTGTGTGTGTGTGTGTGTGTGTGTGTGTGTGTGTGTGTGCGCACACGCGCGTGCGCACATGTGATACAGGTGCACGCGTCACACACGCGTGTGCGTGCTTGCGCGCGCGCGCACACAAGGCAAGCGGGCCACCCGTGCAATTGTGCATGCATTTGATACGGAAACTACATGCTCTCCACCATGTGCACAGGCGCGTGTGTCGGAGTCTGGTACCTAATGTGTGAATCTGCTGTTGATGTGCTTTATTGTCTTTACCGGTACGCGGGCTGCATTGTCCACAAGCAGCCACTGCCATGCACATTCAGCCCAAACCATCAGCGTTGTCACCCTTTCTGTACCCCGTCTGAACGCGTTGTGGCCCAAGATGACCTCTAAACTCACCCGACACAATGTGCCGGAAGAGCATGTCTCGGAGCGCCTTGTCGTTGACGCGGAACAGGCGGAACAGCAGTGGGAGCAGCAACGACGGATCCAGCTGCGAAGTAAAGGGAGAGAACCAGGTGTGCATGGGATGTGTTGAAAATTGGTGAGTGCGCAAAGAGGCATCTGCAGAAGAAGAGCCAGACGAATGCTGGTGGACAGGTCGCAGGCACCACAGTGGACAGCCCACCACCCACACATCGGAGGTGTGGCCCCTTGTCTCAGTGCTTTGCGCGCCGTGTCGAACTGCGCACAAGAACACCAATAGCACGCACCGCCTCACCTGGTTCCTGTTGCGCAGCAGAATTAGTGCCTGCACCATGGCGCGCCGTAGAGGAGCGTCCAGGATCGCGTGCTGAGCCTCCAGCAGCGCCATCACCTCTGGTGCAAACTCGGACGTGCTGCGCGGGTAGCATTTGCTGACCTGCCGGGTTGTCGAGTGTGGCCTTAGAGTTCAAACATTGAGACCAGCGTGCTGGCAGTCGGTGGGCTTGCGCAGCAGGCTGGTGTCTTACTGGGGTTGAAGGCAACTGCCTCGTCGCGCCGCCATGCACACCACCTCATGCAAAACAGCCCGGCTGGTGCGCCACTTTGGATTCCCAAAATGCCAGCTGTGCTGGCATGTAGGCACACCTGGACAATATGAGCCCCCACCTGTGCGACAAACCCAATCAGCTCTGCAAATTCGCGGCTGTCGCCCGAGGGCCTGAGCCGGAAGATGTTCAGGCAAGCCTGGTAGTGCCGGTACTGCAGCACACATGACACAGGAGAGCAAGAATTAGAACGAATCATGATCATAGGAAAGCCCCCGCGTTGCAAAGCGCGCCCATGACCGTACAGCATGCGTTTGGCCTACTGTACCACGCATACAGTTGCAGCCATGTGAGCAGGTACTGATGGGCCAACACCTGGGTGGTCTTCGTGGGTCCAGACGCCCATCGGCCGCCCCAAGTTGCTTGGCAAACCAAAGGCAGCCCACCACGCTGCACACCTGCAGCATGAACTCGTCTTTGTAGCCATCGGGATCACGCTTGATGTTGGCCTGCGGGACCGGCCGCGCAAGTGCGTCGGCGGCTGCAGGTCCAGCAAGCAGGCGAGCGCTGCAGTGGCACAGGTGGCGGCTGCAAGCGCATGGTGACGCGCACCTGCAGCGTCAAGAGCTGCGCCTTGGCGTACGCCATATAAACTGTCAGGGCTATAAATACACACGCCTGCCACTGTGTACCTTAGCACTCGTTGCGTTCACCGTGGCTATCAAGGCCCAGCAGTGAAAAACCACCATGAAAACAGCGGTCGAGCAGGAGAAGCCGGTTGAATCCTACTTTTGTGCTCTTCACGCTTCCCGCACTCGAATTTGTGCTGGTGTGCCTGCCCAGTGCGCCGCGTGCTTTTCAATCACGAGGCAGCATCCCATCATCTGCACATTCCAGAGATTTCCCACAAGGTGTTGTGCACAGCACATCTACACCACACCTGTGCTACACCGACACCATCACCAAAGCTGAGATCATTGGTTGCGAATCCCGCAATTTGTGGGCCTACGGCGTCTTCAGGATTGGACTAGGCCATATTGAAAACACGTGAGGTGTGTGGCAAGCTGCAATGGGCCGGCGACGGCCCCCGATCATCGGGGCAACAGCGTCGTTGCAGGACGCCTGACCACCGCGTGGGCAAATAAGAACACCTTCGTGTTTCCTGCTGAAGACCCCGAGCGCGCAGGTGCCGTGTGGCGCCCCACTGATGTGCAACCTGCTGCTGGTCTGCCATCGCAGAGCCGTCTCGTGACACGAGGACCGTCTGTTGCCGCACCAACGGCGCAATGGTGCATATCCCCATCCTCAAGATTGATGTGCCGGACCCAGACATCTCGGCGCTGCTGCCGGCAACCGTGGCGCTGGCTATCAATGTGCTGACAGCAGTGCACGACGCTCTGTCCGACTTTCTGCGGCCGTTGTCGCCAGACGCGCGCGAGCTGTATGAGCATGCGCGCGTCGCGGCGCTGCCAAGGGAGATCCGCAAGGCGCGCAAGCGCATTCGCGATCGCCGCATCGAGGACGTGGACAAGCAGTCGAGCGAGCTGGAGGAGGCCGGGTTCTCCTTTTACCGCCGCATGATCCGAACCAACTGGGTTGGCCACAGGGACGAGGGAGTCGAGGATGCCAGCTTCAGGCGCCTCATGACAGCGGCGCGGCCGGGTGAGCAGCTTCAGAATGATTTTTATGCAGGCGCCCTCTGCTCTGCAGCGGGTTTGGGCCTGCCGCTGCAGGCATTTGGCGCTGGCACCTTAGGCGATGCCGCGGTGGGCGCGAGCGGCAGCGGCTGGGAGGATGGGAACCTTTTGCAGGTGCAGGACCATGGGCAGCGCAGCCAGCAGCAGTGGCGGCGGCAGCAGCAGCAGCAGCAGCAGCAGCATGACGGGGACGTCACCTTACCAGGCCGCGCTCAGCGCGCTGTCGTGACATCTGTGGCGGGCAGCGTTGGCCTGGTTATAGGCATGGGCCTGGTGAGAATTTCTGCCGTGCTTGCCAGGGTGCGCAGCCGTGCCCAAAGGCGCGCAGGGCGCGTTGCACGCGCCGCGCCCAAGAAAGGTCAGCGACGCTCACTCGCACCTGGCAGCACCGCACGAGCCATCGGTGGTGGTGGAGGCAGCAGCGGCGCTGCAGTCAGCCGGCAGAAATGAGTTCGAAATCACGAGTACATTGTTGGATACATTGCAAGAGCGTCCTTGATATTGGCAAACATTGCAGTTTTTTCTAAGCAAGGACTGGCCTCACTACCCAGGCTTGTTTGATGAAAAGCCCCCTTCAACTGGCATGTAGTTTGACATGTGCACAATTAGTTTGGTTGGTAGTGCTGTGGGGGCACGCTCCTCCGCAAACAGGTCGTTTTCTGGGCGTTCGTGCAGTAGTGCTCATGTTAACATGAAAGAGAGCAGTGAACACGAAAGAGAGCAATCTGCCGTCGCTGCGCTCATCAGCGTCTGTAACACGTCCAAGTGAGGTCTTTCTCGGTCGGTGAATGAGTCTGTGTAGTATAGGGGGTGGCGGGGGATTGAAGGGGCTGGCAGGGGTCTTAGATGCCTTCGTGTGGCATGGAGGGGGAGGGCATGGTAGATTGGGAAGCCGGTGTGCTGCCTGGCGGCGGCTCACCTACCGGAGCTGTAACACGCC